CTTTCATTCTAATTTTTTAAAGATCTTGAGGAGCAAGATCTGTGTGCACTGGGGGTGGAGGGCTAGATAAAAATATGAGTTTGGGATCTAAGCAGATGTGTCAGGATGAGCCCAGGCCTGGGGCATTTGGTGGCCCTGACACCCCTTTTCTTGTTTCCTAGCCCTTCCGTGACTGCAGGGCTGGGATGGCTCTTTCTCCTGCAGGCCAGAGGTAAGGGGGTCCAAGTTTCTCTTTTCAGAGAGTCCCAGAGCTCTTCCTCAGGAAGTCATGTGGAAAGCTGACCCTGAGCCCAGGCACATGGGTTTCCGCTGTGTCAGGCGCTCTCCTGGGTGTGGTGTGGCCTACCAGCCCTCTCGGTCACCACTGCTGTTGCTGTGCTTTGCCTCTCTGACAGCTTGTTAGAGCTTGCACCATAAACACCCTGCTGCTGCTCTGGTATCCAAGGCTTCTCAAGACCAGGGCCCTGTTCTGTCTTTCTGATTGCCTTCCTTGCAGCTCCTGCTCTTCCAGAATGTACAGCTCTAGTCCAAAGGATTTGCCCGTTGTCCTGCTGAGTGCCCCACTCTGGAACTTGCTCCCATTATCCTGACATGTACAAACCCTACCCAGCTGCACAGCCTCCTCTTCCAAGTACCTTGCCCTGCTCTCCAGCTGGAAGGGATGGCTCTCTCCTTTGAATTCCCAGAAGACTTTTACTCTGAGGAATGACACCAACTCATCACTGCCTAGTGGTTTGTGCACTTGCATTTTAGGGAAGGATCTTTTGGTCTAAGCAATAGAAATCAACTCTTGGATTTATCTCCTCACTCCCTGAATGATCCTGTGGTTTCTCATGGAACAACTGAAGTCACTATCCTTAACATGACCCCTGTGTGGTAACTCCAGTCTCTGTGACTCTTGGTTCTAAGTGTCACAATTGGAGAGAATGAATTACTGCAGCATGGTTCAGGCCCTTGGCGCTCCCTCCCACCCCAACCCCCATCAACCACCAACTGTAACCCAGAAGTTTTACACTGCTCAGACAAGACCACCAGGGGCACTCATAGAATCCGAAGGAGGGGGGCTTTTCTCAAAAAAAGAGGGAAAACCTGAGGCCAGAGCAGCCACATAAGGAGTAGCTAGTGTGAGTTGTCTCTGCTATTGATAGAAGAGGGAAGAAGGGATGCTGGGAAGACAAAGTAGCAGACATCCACTGCGAAGTGTTTATGGAGCGAATGAGTCACGGGGTGGAATGACCAGTACATCTGTTGCCTCTTTAGAGCCTTAGGTCAGATTGTTTCCCAGGTGTGCATCCCTGGAACACAACCACAATATGCATTTCCAACTTTTATATTCCTTTATTAATCATGTCAGCCTCGGGTGCTCTCTGGGTAGCTTGAGTGAGGAGGAAAGCATATGAAATCTTCCGTATGGTACAGAGGTATAGCAATAAATGCCTGGCATTTGATCACTCATGTCTTGGTGTGTATTAACTGAGTAACTGATCCGTGTTGGGCACAGGCCATATGTCAGATGCATGGGACTGGCCCTCCCGGGACTTGAGAGTTCAGAGAAATATCAGCTGTGAAAGAGTGTTATTAGTGCACCAGTGGATGCTGCGGGGACCCAGGGGAGGTACTGAGGAGCTCGGCTGAGGCTTTCTAGAGGAAGTAATAGTAGAGCTGGGTCTTGCAGAGTGAATAGGAGCTTGCCAGTTAGAGAAGAAGGAAAGGGGATTTTAGTCTGAGAGTATTTTAAGTATATTCGAGGCTACCAGGGACTGTGAAAGAGGGTGGTGTGGTTGGGAAATCGGTGGGTGTAGTGTGCCTGAAGTGTAGAGAGTGTGTTTGTGACAGGGACACTAAGAATTGGGAGAAGGTGGAGAATGGAGATATGTGGGGAGACTGGGCGCAGATTATGGAAGTTTCTTATCTTATGCTCTGGAGTTTTTACTTAATCAGGGAGTAATGGCCTGGGGATGTGGGGAGGGAGGGCACTGAGGTATTTGAGCAGAGGAACAACCCATTTCAGAATCTAGGTAGAAAGCCTAATACCTTATCTGGAGAATATGAAGCATTGCTGCTTTAGGAAGTTAATATGTCCACATGAATTGAATACAGTTCTACTCTTGGAGATTTGTGTTACTGGTTTGAGATACTGACATGAAAGGGCATATATGTATGAGAATGTTTTACTGCTGCATTGTTGATAGTCATCAAGAATTGGAAACAAAATGAATACCCAACAATGGAAAAAATTATTTGATAATTTGGTATATATGAAAGCTGAATAAGTTTTAGACTTTGGCAATAATGTTTTAGAATCCTGTTGACTTGGAGGGATTTTTGTGTTAAGTAAGAAGATCAAAGTACGGTTAGGTGTGTATATATTATGGTCATATTTCTAAAACAATCAGTGGGTCAGAAAACTCTATATATGTATATATTCTTAAATATAGGTCTGTGTAAGAATTTGAGTGTGGGGAAAAATATGAACTGACTCTTCCTAGGTCACCATGAGTCAACTGGGGGCGGGGCTGTGCAATGACAGGAGAGTGATAATAAGGTGTGAAGACTAGCAGTGGTCTACAGAGTACATGTGGCTCAGTTCCGCCCCAGAGAAGCTAAATATGAGTTTATAAAGGTAGAATAGGAAGCAGCATGCTGTGATTTCATATTTTAGGCGATTTTCTTCTCCCTCTTTTCTGTATCTGTGTCTGTATGCATATGCGTAGACCCAAACGTGTAGATATGTGTATATGCAAATTCTGTAAAAAAAAATACAATAGCCTCATGAAAGATGAACGAGACAGAAAGATCTTTGGTGAGTTTTTGTTTTTAATAGTTTAATATAGGCAATTTCCTATTAGACAAACACACACGTAATTTCCATGGCTAGACATTATATGCCACCTGGTTAAAAAAATTACATCTGAAAGCTTTATACCCAAACAACTGCATCTTTCAGAAAGTGCTGCTCCTTCTCATTAAATATCCATAAGCATGAAGACATGACTTTAACCTTGATGGTTGTAGTATGCCTTCATTGCTTCAACTGTACTTGATAGCTTTGCTTCACCAGGAGGGCCTCATTGGTGCCCTAGACTGTACTGACCCAGAATAAAAGTGAAGTCCTCACCTTGTGCTTTGCAGGCCTATAGGCTCCACCTCCCTGCCCCCATTGCTTCTACCTTTTCTCCCATCTTGGCTGACTTTTCCTTGGGATTCCTCACACATCTCCAGGTCACTTCACTGCCCCAGAGCTTTTGAATTTGCCATTCCCTCTCCCTGGAACAAATGCTCACTGGACATCCTCCTGGCTCGCTTCCTCATGTCTTTCACATCGTGCTCAAAATGTCCCTTTCTCTGTGAGCCTCCCTGGACCCACTTTTTTAAACTGCAATGCCTGTTTGTCCCTTCCATCCTTGATACATTCTAGGTGTCTTCTCTATTCTTTTCCTTCCTAACACTCACTGCCACCAACATATTGCTACCTTGTTGGTTTATTTTGAAAATTGATGGTCCTCTTACTAAATCTAACTTTCACAAGGGAAAGGATTATCTGTTTGCTGTCACAGCCCAGGTCTTCAATCTATACTTGTCATATTGTAGAGCCTGCAGGCCTATTTGTAGAATGATTGAGTGAGTTGAGGGCAGGTGGAGAATGGTTTGAGGGATGTAGGATTAGCCACAGAAAGACTCTTCGGAAGGCTTATTACTAGCCAGAGACAACGGGACTTGAGCTCAGCCTTCATGGTTAATTGCATATGTCTTCTGTTGTAAAATGGTGCTGAAGCCTCTTATTGGCTTTTAACTTCTCATTCATTTGTCTTGATTCTTAAGGCAGAGTCAAGGCTCCTTGGGAATGGAGGCTAGACATCTCCGTCTCTGTTTTTCCTGCAGAGCCTGGCACTTATGTGATACTAAACTAAGGCTCTTGACAGATGTCCAATGCTTCATTAATTATCTGCTATTACTGGCTTTTATTTGACTAAGGGGATTTTAGAGTGATTTTTATTTGATTAAGATCTTCGGAACTAATCTATGTTCTCATGGTGTTATACTTAAGAGAGTTAAATTTATTCCATTATGAAAGTGACATCCATACTCACTATAGGAAATTTGGAAATTAGTAAAAAGTTGAAAAAATTAAAGACTTTAGTTTTACAACTCAAAGAGCCTTTAGCATTTAGATATCTTTATATATTTTTTCTAGACAGAGCTATTTAACATTCTTGTAATTGTTGTGTGTGCAGTTACATTTTGCATACTGCTTTCCTTGTTTTACATACACATTTTTATTTGCTATAATATTCTGGAAAGCATTATTTTAAATACATGTATACTATATAACCACATTGCTATGCCAGAGCTCACTTAATGTGTTATTTGATAATTTGGGCTATTTCCATTTCACCCTTATTGTACAGACCATCTGCTGTTCTGTCAGACTTCATGGCTTGTTATTTATTAGTCTAATCACTTATCCTCAAAACTTCTCGCCTCCATCTTCTTTTTTTTTTTTTTTTTTTGACAGGCAGAGTGGACAATGAGAGAGAGACAGAGAGAAAGGTCTTCCTTTTGCCGTTGGTTCACCCTCCAATGGCCGCTGCAGCTAGCGCGCTGCGGCCGGCGCACCACGCTGATCCAATGGCAGGAGCCAGGTGCTTCTCCTGGTCTCCCATGGGGTGCAGGACCCAAGCACTAGGGCCATCCTCCACTGCACTCCCTGGCCACAGCAGAGAGCTGGCCTGGAAGAGGGGCAACCGGGACAGAGTCTGGCGCCCCGACCGGGACTAGAACCCGGTGTGCCGGAGCCACAAGGTGGAGGATTAGCCTAGTGAGCCACAGCACTGGCCTCTGCCTCCATCTTACTATCTCTAAAACAAAGGTTCATGAATGGAAGAAGCAGTGTTGAGTGCGTATAGTAGATGCTTAGGAAACACCGGATGGACTGGAATTGGAGCCCTTGGAAACTGTGGGGTACTGATGGTCTTCCTGGCACTATTCCCTGGTTGCAGGCTGCACCTGATGCAGGTGGACTCAGTCCAGCGCTGGATGGAGGACCTGAAGCTCATGACCGAGTGTGAGTGCATGTGCGTCCTGCAGGCAAAGCCCATCAGTCTGGAGGAGGACGCACAGGGCGACCTCATCCTGGCGGGTGGCCCCAGCCTTGGGGACCCCCTGCAGTTGCTGCTCAAGCGGGGCTGGGTCATCAGCACTGAACTGCGCAGAATCGGGCAGAAGTTGGCCCAAGACCGCTGGGCTCGTGTGCACAGCATGAGCGTGCGTCTCACCTGCCACGCCCGCTCCATGGTCAGCGAGTACACTGCTGCCAGCAGGAGTTCCTCACAGGAAATGAGCCAGGTCAGCTGCCCCGGGATGGAGGTGGGTGGGTGCTGGGAGTAGGGGTGCCTTGGAGAAGAGTGGGTCTGGACTGCATTGAGTGAACCTTTGCTGCCCCAGGGCCTCCCTCCCTCCCTCTTTGGTAAAGGAGTGGAGAAAGACTATTAGAATCTGAACTGATTTTCTACCAAGTGCTTGTGCTGGGTGTTCTTACACATTTGATTTAACCTGTGCAGCCTGAGAGGCAGGCACCACCACTGTGCAAAGCTACTAATGGTTAAATACACCAACTTTGAGGTAAGGCTGCCTAGGTCCAACTGTCAGCTCTGCTGTGTGACCTTGGCAATGTACTTAACTTCTTTCTGTCCTGTTCCTTGATCCTAGTGGGTATAATAATAGTATTTGTTTCATAGACTTATTGTGAGGACTAAGTGAGTTTTTACATATAAACTAAAGCAGTTGATTAAAATGTATTACAATTGTCCTCTGCATTTTATTCATTAGCACACAGAGCTTCAAGAGGCTCACTAGCTTGCCCGAAGGGATGCACTGGATGGTGCGAGCAGCTTCAACCCAAGATTCTCTGATTACACAGCCCATGATTTTGAACCTTCTTCTCAAAGCTCAGAGTGTTACCTCATGCACTTTTCAACTGAGTACTTTGCTCTTTGCTTCTAACTTGTCCTTTGTCCATTTTGCAGACAATGAACTTCTAGTGGTGCTTCAAAGCCCAGCTTAAGTAGCCTGTGTTTACTGAAGTATCCCAGATCCCCCGGCACAAGGAATTGCTCGGTTTTCTCCTGTAGGGCTTCCAAAGCAGCTGACAGTGATCTCTTTTGCCACCGCATCACTCAGGGATCTAGTTTATGATGTACTTGTTCCCCAAGTCAGAGTACTTGGTTCCTTATCTTTGTGTCCCAGAACAGCTGGTGCAGCAGTTGGTCCTCACCAACGCTATGGAATCGAGAACAACTGCTGTGCTTTTCTGCAGGTTGAGAAGCTGTTAATGGAGAAGTGCTCAGAGCTCTCGGCCATCACAGAGAGGTATGTCCGGGGCCAGGGCCTCCCAGCGTCTGCCAGCCCATCTTTCAGCCCAGGATGGAGCTGCTGCCTTCTCTCGGAAACAGAATGGGGAGATCTGATGGCGGGGGCACCTAGAGGTTTCTTCTCTGACTTTTTTGAAAGCTTGGATAATTTGTTTGGAATTTTTTATCCTATCTTTTGGTCTCAGGGATAAAATGAGAAGCAGAGGGGAGCCTGGGGTATAGGAAGAAAGATTTTTTGAGAAGTTGGTAACAAGGGGAAGATTTCCCACAACTTTCAGAGACCTGCTGCTCGCCCAAGTCAAGGCAAGGGGAGAGCAGACTGTCACATCCTTCCATAGACACGAATGCTCAGAGACACTCACTGGCTCCTGCACAGATAAACACACTCTTGCACAATCACAGAAATTCACACCCCTTCCTGCATTTGACATGTATAAACATACCTCTGTTCACACTCAGACACATACACACGCTCCCTGTCGTGTGTACACACCTCCAAGTGTCTGTTGACAGCGTTCCCAGCCCCATGTCCTGAAGGCAAAACTTGGAGCTTGGCATTGCCTGGGGCTCTCAGGGGGCTTTGGCTTGCCTTGCCTAGGTAGGACATTCTCAGGCCCCAGGGGTAAACGTGAGCCTGATTCCCCTCTGTTCTTCCTGTCCAGAGAAAATCCTCAAGACTGCTTGCTGCACGTTGTAGGCAGCCGTTTCTTAGAGGGCCGCAGGCATTGGCATCCAGCTCCAGAGTGAGCTGTGGCAAAGCCTTGGCCCCCAGCCCTCTGCTTCCACCCCCCCCCCCCCCCCCCCCAGCGCTGGAGCAGATGGACTCTGGCCACAAGGCTTCCACCCTCCCTCCCCAGCACTGGAGCAGATGGACTCTGGCCACAAGGCTTCCACCCTCCCTCCCCAGCACTGGAGCAGATGGACTCTGGCCACAAGACTTCCACCCTCCCTCCCCAGCACTGGAGCAGATGGACTCTGGCCACAAGGCTTCCACCCTCCCTCCCCAGCACTGGAGCAGATGGACTCTGGCCACAAGGCTTCCACCCTCCCTCCCCAGCACTGGAGCAGATGGACTCTGGCCACAAGGCTGGTGGTTCATGAGGGAGGAGCCTGCAGAGATGGATGTGCTGTTCTCTGATGGCCGTTTGCCCCCCTGGCAGGGACTGTTACTCCATGGCAGCTGGCACTTCCCTGCACACTGAGGGACCCAGGGGCGAGTTGGAGGCAGGAAGTTCTTTCCCTTTAGCCCACTCTCACCACACCCCAGGTCTGGAGTGGGTCCAGATTCGGTCCCTGCGAGGGCTCTGGGCTGACCCCTTGCCTCTTCCAGTGACTCTCCCCCTTGTTTCTCCTGCCCAGGTGCCTCCAGGTTGAGAGTGAGCATGTCCTGAAGTCGATGAAGGCTTGCGTGAGTGAGACCCTGAGCACGCTGGGGCAGCACTTTGGCCAGCTGCTGGAGCTGGCCCTGACGCGGGAGGTGCAGGTCAGTGCAGCTGGGCTGGGGGGAGCGGTAAAGCCAGGTTGGAGGGATGTTGCTAAAGTAACCTTTCTTTTTTTCTATTTTTAAAGTTTTTTTTTAACTTTTATTTAATGAATATAGATTTCCAAAGTACAGCTTATGGATTACAATGGCTTCTCCCCCCCCCCCATAACTTCCCTTCCACCCATAACTGTCCCCTTTCCTGCTCCCTCTCCCCTTCCATTCACATCAAGATTCATTTTCAATTCTCTTTATATACAGAAGATCAGTTTAGTATATATTAAGTAAAGATTTCAACAGTTTGCACCCACATAGCAACACAAAGTGAAAATACTGTTTGAGTACTAGTTATAGCATTAAATCACAATGTACAGCACATTAAGGACAGAGATCCTACATGAGGAGTAGTGCACAGTGACTGCTGCTGTTGACTTAACAAATTGACACTCTTGTTTATGGCATCAGTAATCACCCTAGGCTCTTGTCATGAGTTTCCAAGGCTATGGAAGCCTTTTGAGTTCACTGACTCTTACCATATTTAGACAAGGTCATAGTCAAAGTGGAAGTTTTCTCCTCCCTTCAGAGAAAGGTACCTCCTTCTTTGATGACCTGTTCTTTCCACTGGGATCTCACTCATGGAGATCTTTCATTTAGTCTTTTTTTTTTTTTTTTTTTTTTTTTTTTTTGCCAGAGTGTCTGGCTTTCCATGCCTAAAATACTCTCATGGGCTTTTCAGCCAGATCCGCATGCCTTAAGGGCTGATTCTGAGGCCAGAGTGCTGTTTAGGACATCTGCCATTCTATGGGTCTGCTGTGTATCTCACTTCCCATGTTGGATCATTCTCTCCCTTTTTTATTCTATTAGCTAGTATTTGCAGACACTATTCTTGTTTATGTGATCCCTTTGGTTCTTAGTCCTATCATTATGATCAATTGTGAACAGAAATTGATCACTGGGACTAGTGAGATGGCATTGGTACATGCCACCTTGATGGGATTGAATTGGAATCCCCTGGTATGTTTCTAACTCTACCGTTTGAGGTAAGTCAGCTTGAGCATGTCCCGAATTGCACATCTCTTCCCTCTCTTATTCCCACTCTTATATTTAACAGCAATCACTTTTCAGTTAAGTTTCAGCACTTAAGAATAATTGTGTATTGATTACAGTATTCAACCAAAAGTATTAAGTGGAACAGACAAAAAAATACCGGAGGCATCACAATACCAGATTTTAGGACATACTACAGGGCAGTTGTAATCAAAACAGCATGGTACTGGTACAGAAACAGATGGATAGACCAATGGAACAGAATAGAAACACCAGAAATCAACCCAAACATCTACAACCAACTTTTATTTGATCAAGGATCTAAAACAAATTCCTGGAACAAGGACATTTTATTCAATAAATGGTGCTGGGAAAACTGGATTTCCATGTGCAGAAGCATGAAGCAAGACCCCTACCTTACACCTTACACAAAAATCCACTCAACATGGATTAAAGACCTAAATCTACGACCTGACACCATCAAATTATTAGAGAACATTGGAGAAACCCTGCAAGATATTGGCACAGGCAAAGAATTTCTGGAAAAGACCCTGGAGGTGCAGGCAGTCAAAGCCAAAATTAACTAATGGGATTGCATCAAATTGAGAAGTTTCTGTACTGCAAAAGAAACAGTCAGGAGAGTGAAGAGACAACCGACAGAATGGGAAAAAAATATTTGCAAACTATGCAACAGATAAAGGATTAATAACCAGAATCTACAAAGAGATCAAGAAACTCCACAACAACAAAACAAGCAACCCACTTAAGAGATGGGCCAAGGACCTCAATAGACATTTTTCAAAAGAGGAAATCCAAATGGCCAACAGGCACATGAAAAAATGTTCAAGATCACTAGCAATAAGGGAAATGGAAATCAAAACCACAATGAGGTTTCACCTCACCCCGGTTAGAATGGCTCACATTCAGAAATCCACCAATAGATGCTGGCGAGGATGTGGGGAAAAAGGGACACTAACCCACTGTTGGTGGGAATGCAAACTGGTTAAGCCACTATGGAGATTCCTCAGAAACCTGAATATAACCCTACCATTCAACCCAGCCATCCCACTCCTTGGAATTTACCCAAAGGAAATTAAATTGGCAAACAAAAAAGCGGTCTGCACCTTAATGTTTATTACAGCTCAATTCCCATTAGCTAAGACCTGGAATCAACCTAAATACCCATCAACAGTAGACTGGATAAAGAAATTATGGGATATGTACTCTATAGAATACTATACAGCAGTAAAAAACAATGAAATCTGGTCATTTGCAATACAATGGAGGAATCTGGAAAACATTATGCTGAGTGAAATAAGCCAGCCCCAAAGGGACAAATATCTTATGTTTTCTCTGATCGCTGACAACTAACCGAGCACCAAAAAGGAAACCTGTTAAAGTGAAATGGACACCATGAGAAACGGTGACGTGATCAGCCCTTGCCCTGAACAACTTAATATGTTATCCCTCTTAGTATTTTTTTGTCAGTTCTACTTAATACTATTGATTTTTAAAGTTTTTTTAAAAAGGTTTTATTTATTTCTTTGAGAGTTAGAGTTACAGATGGAGTGAGGGAGAGACTAGAGAAAGGTCTTCCATTCACTGGTTCACTCCCCAGTTGGCTGCAATGGCTGAAGCCAGGAGCCAGGTGCTTCTTCTGGGTCTTCCATGTGGGTGCAGGGGCCTAAGCACTTGGGTCATCTTCTACTGCTTTCCCAGGCCATAGCACAGAGGTGGATCAGCAGTGGCACAGCTGGGACTTGAACTGGTGCCCATATAGGATGCTAGTGGTGCAGGCAGAGGCTTAGCCTACTACACCACAGCGCTGTCCCCTAAAGTGACCTTTCTTGGAAGATGTCCACCAAAATCATCTCTAGCATCTGTGACATGAGATCCTTAGCCCTGGGCTGAGGCCTCCTGGATGTCCAACCCAACTCTGCATTTCCCAGGTATGGAAACGACAGCCCAGAGAAAGAAGATGCTTATTGAAGGCCACACAGCAAGGTGATGGCAGAACCTGGCATCTCCCATTACATGTTCAGTATGGTTGCCCCAGCTTCAGTCTTCTTTGTGGAACTATCATTCACAGTGTACCCAGTGGATCTTTACTTAAGCGCCTGCAGAGAATAAGGCTGGAAATTTGGGACATTTTGGCAACAGAACCAAATCTAGAAAAGGCATGAGGTCCAGCCCCTGCCCCTAGGCAGGCTCCTGTTGGTTCCAGAAAGTGGGAGGGATTTGGAGCCTGACAGATCTCCTTTCGAACTGGTTTACCAGAGGACCTTCGTCAAGTTCGTTAGCCTCTCTCAGCCTCCCATTCCTCATCCACAGAAAGAGGAGAGAGAGGACTGAGCAAACACATATGGAAGGGGCTTGGCACATGCATGTAGTATGGGTTAAATACACATTTCTCTCCCCTGCCCTCTGCTATTTTTAAAGCCTCTCAGGATAGCAGATTTCATAAGGTTTTCATTAGGAAAGGTATTTATATGTTATTTATAGTTACAGAAATATCGTGCTACATATTTGCCATTCTTTTCCCACAAATAACCAATCCCTTTCCATGTAGACTTCTCTCCAAATTCAGTCATTCTCCCGACACAGTTCCCTCTCTCTCCTTCCCGTGTATGTACCTCCTTTGGCACAGGGCACGGGCCTTTAGGGCCTGGCTTATTTCAGTTTTATCTTGGGTCCATGCTCCTAGGCCAGCATCTCACATCAGTTCTACTTTCAATCACAGACCACCACCCAAAGGATACCCTCCCTGTTCTGAGAGTCTAGAACAAAGGGGAGGGATTGCTGAAGGCTTGGGAACTAGGACAGGTGCTTCTATCTTGATGAGCCAATGCTGACAATCACATGCAGGGTCAGTAATGGCTCAAGCTGGGGACAGTGCCCTGAACTGAGCCCTCAAGTCCCAGAGGGAGCAGTGGGACATGGACACAAAAAAGATGAAGAAATCAAGGGAGTGATGGGTGAAGAATATTGAAGCACTGGGAATCCCGGATCTCCCATGTTGGGGGAGGGACCCAAATACTTAAGCCATCACCTGCTGCCTCCCAAGATGCACATTAGCAGGAAGCTGGGCTTGGGAGCAGAGCCAGGACTCAAACCTAGGTACTGTGATATGAAGTGCATATCAGAAATGTCTTAACTGCTATGCCAGATGCCCACCCCTAGAGTCTTCACATTAGAAACTCCACAGAGGACATGGGTGACATCAGAAGATAGTCTTGCTGAAGGCAGAGCAATTTGTATTCAGTGTTCTAACTGTGTGACCCAAATGCTGTCCCCTAGGATGCTAATAATAATGATTATTAGTTATTACAGGATTATGCACTTGGGTTGTTTTTGTATTAATTAAATAAATCCATATCAATCAATTAGTTAATTTAATTAAACCGGTTTTTTTTGTGGCATAATTCTTTTGACATTCCATTCTGCACTTAAAATCTTTCCAAAGGTCCTCAGATACTCATAATACTTCTTGTCTGTCTTGTAGCTTCCATAGGAAGGAATTTTGGTTTGGTTTGTTCATGCAGATATCTCTAGTGAATAACACAATACCTGGCATAGAATATTCAACAGGAGCACAGATTTTATTATTTTATTGGTAAATGACCTACTTGTTTATACTGAGATGATGGTGTTTCCAGAGATGCACTTTGGGAAATATCCTTTTAGCACTTGGGCATCTTGTCAGTTCTCAAGCAGAGGAATCATTCTCTTCCCCCATGTCTGTCGTTTTGTCTGTCTCATACACACACACACACACACACACACACACAACATGGTGATAGGTGCTCACAATGGGGTAGTATTAATCTAGCACTACTCTACACTGATCTTCCCCATCCTGGAATGTTCTGTCCAGTTTCAGGCTCTCGGTGTATTATTGGCAATGAGTATACTTGGAGGAAGCTTCTGGGGAAAGGAGGTGCTGAAGATCAAGATTT